CATACCTTAACATCCTCGACTTGCCAGCCCCGGAAGAAGTAAAAGGCAATGATTCGGGCGAGAAGGAGTGAATATGGATGTACCCTGCATTCGGACGCCGATGTATTAAGTGCATCACATTCATGTGATCGCTATTTAACTGCGTGAGATTCGAATCCAATTCGGAATTGAAGTAGCTTTTTGAGTGGGTATCAAGGCTATGCGGTAAATTGATTGGCCATTCGATGTACCAGTCAGTGTTACCATTATGCAGGAGAAGCCTGGTACCCATTAAATGTTTCCGCCGATCAAACGTTTCCTTATGAGATTCCCTGAGCATGCGTGGGGTAGCTATGCTAATTTGTACATTCCCATGTCAATGTGACTTGGGCTTTGAATTGGTTAGACTTTTCGCGATGCATGCTATGTTCTCGATGAAGATTTGGGAACTCGTGCGAGCTGAATTGGAAATTTAAACTCACTCGGAAAATATTTATGAGGGATTTAATAGCTGTACACCATTATCACACACCAGCAAAAAGATCACTACAGAAGTTTGCATGGAAAAACGAAGTATGATAGAGGCTGGGGTGTGAATGGTTGGTGTTTGTTACGCAACCAGAAAACGTGTATTCTAAAAGGACTCCATTACCTAAGTGCAGGGCTCATCCTTAATTCATTCTCTTTAATAAAATATAGAGCTCCGACTTCTTAAGGGTCGAACTGACTGACCTTGTACGTTGGCCCTCCCGCTTTGACATTTAAAGGCGCAGTTCGAGATGAAAATGGTTTCTAAAATTTCTCTATAGGATAAACTCGTGACCTACAAGAACAGCACGTGGCGGGCCGGAAAACATGCTCGACGGGGCGTTATAAAGGCTACAAAACAGGCTTAGCCGAAGCACACGTCCAGAAGTGGCCATGTTCTAATAACCTTGTCAGAGCATTCAGAATGAAGAGTTATGACGCCAACGAATAGTTTGTCTATGTGGTAGACAACCAAAATGTTACAGACTCATGATCTCACGCAATCCCCAATCTTTGTAAATTTTCGAAGCCCTATCTTTTCCAAAGGAGAGCAAATTTTGCGCTCTTTACGCCATCTTACACTATTCTTCATCGCATATCCCATTGCTTCGTATAAGCTGGATACCTCGGAATTGTCGGGAACTAAGTCGAAGAGCCCTTCAGAGCAGCTGGGAATGTTTCGTGAAGCATATGAGAAAGCTCAAAAACTTGGACAGAACAATGAACAGAACAAACTGACTTTGTGTTGATAATCTTCGATCCCGCCAGCTCTTTTTTATTTGTCGTCTTAATTACAACTATTTCAGAAAACTACGTTAGATCTACATACATCTAATAATAACTATTCCACCATTATTTGTAAATCGTGAGCGAGCAACTCCAAAGTAACATCAGACGAATGCTCTAAAGCTTATAAGCCAGGTGGAAGTCAGATTGGAGCAACTGTCCTTGATGGATGTAGGATCACCCTCCGTTCCGACCAACCAACTATTCAAATTATTTGAGCTTACAGGAAATGGAGAGCTTTTTGGAGCGGGGTTTACTGTATCACCGCCTTATAGGGTCCTACGAAGACTACTGTATGTATTCGTCGTCCAACCTAATATTCTGTTAGATTATGGAATCTGTAAAATGATACAGTTTAATTCACAATCAGAGCAATTTCTAAAGTCTTAGTTTTTGCAATCACTCTACTTCAGTTCATCAAATGGGTAATAACACACGTGATTATAAATGTTCGTTCCGGCTAAAAGCATAAGTAAAAAATGTTTCTTTTTCAAATGACTGCGTTTGAGATGCTAGGTTAGGGTCCGTTGAGGTGGCTTCATTTAATTTATAAATAGGTATGAATCCGTTTCTGGTTCGAATATCTGTGTTCTTCAGAGGGCGACTCTCGAGAAGGGCTTCCGAATGCGCAATTACCTCTAATCTTCCTCTCGTCAACATGAAAAACGAAATAGATCTATCAAAGTCAATTTTGATTTTCTCCCGCAACGCTGTGGACCATTTTTCATGCCCTGGAATCGAAATTACCCAGTCTGCAATAGTGGGCGACACTTCGGGGACCATGGGTATTCAACTCAGAAAAAGAAAACTTTTAGTACTACTTCGAAATGCATGCTCATGGAACTTTTTGGTAGAAAGAAGCTTCACAGAAGAACACTCTTTTTTGTCTTACAACATACATAAAGACAGGTTGTTGGCTCACCCTATGAGCTTAAGTAAATAAATAAATAATCAACCAGCTTCTCAACTTTTGAACAGCCTGTCTATGTTAAATCATTTATAAGGAATGTCTGAGTCCGTCGTCAACATTGCAGGCGTTTGCACTATTATTTTATAGCTTCAACTTCATTCATAATATTATTGACATTGCCTGGAACTCAATTAACTTACTAATTGATATTTTGAAAGAACTTTTGAGGAGTCTGTCCATATCAAATCATTTATAAGAAAAAGGCAAATGTCGAAATAGGGATTACAAATGCGGCTGGATGTATGGGCTTACTTTATAGACAATCCACTGATGTAACGCTTTCACAATATGTAACTTTAAGGGCCGTAATTTTCAATGCGATGTCCTGATAGCCATCGTGAAGTAATAGGCAGACCATTCAGGGGTCAGGAAGTTGATGGTTCGTTTCTTTCACTGACTTATGATGTTGTGGTATCAAAAAAAGGCAAAACATGAAGTCATTTTGGAAATGCCTCCTACAGGCCCTCCTGTCCTTACTGCTTTGAGCCAACTATTTCGTCTGTTATATATGAAGCTTTTTGGCCGAGGAAAGTATCAGCAAAATAAGCCCCAGAGAAATTAATTGAATGAAAGTGGACGAATCTTTCGTAATCCATCACGAAGTACGAATGCTTAGCTGCAAGCAGCCAGAAAAAAAGCCGGCGAGTTCCCAAGCCTCAATTCCATTCAAATTCGGAAGGCCTACATGATTCCGTACCCGTTACGCATTTTTGAGATCAAGATGAGATGACTACGAGTGCAGCCATTCATTCTATTGATGCTCGTTTAATCCGGGTTGAGCTGAAGGGTGATGAGACCACTGCTGGGACTTGATGCCCGAGAGCGGCACATCGTCGTTTGGTAGACCAGAAATTTTAGAAGTAGGAACTCCGACTCACCACCAAAGAGGTCATTGTCGAATGTCCATGGATATTCGATGGCAAGAACAGAGTGAACTTCAGACACGAGCAACAGTAGCCAAATCATCTGAAAGTTGAAGTTAACAGAAGTGATTGTAAGAACACGGTACAAAGCAGAGGCACTCGTCTCATAGAAGGATTGATTCAGGTAAAAGCCGATGGATAGAACGAAGAAATCGTAATTCTCAACTTTCTATGCAATGGCATGGCACAAATGAGTTTCACAACTACAATTAGCACCTTTTTACGTAAACACAAAGTGCAATCAACAATTAATCATTGAATTATGTATTCGTTCAACAAGTTCAGTCGTAATTCAACCAACGATGTTCCCATACAACAAGAAATTTCAATTAAGGTTTCCTCCGCTTCAATTTTCTCAGTTTTCCTCCAACTTTATCAAGTCTTGTGAAAAACTTGAGAGAACACTCGCTATCGCTCTTTTTCCGTATCGTGGATGGCATTTAGGCCCAAGTTCCCTTGCTATACCTTTTTCGTTCTTTCCATAACATTTCCATTACCAGGGATGACTGGATAGAAGCCTAAATTCTCATCAACATTCAATATGGGCTCAAAACTCGTCCATCAGTAACCATATGAAAACTCCAACTTTTCAAAGTGGACTGCACCACGAAAGGGGATGAATGGCTAATGACGATCAGTTAGCTCCACTTGGGTTCACCAGACGTTGACTCAATATATATCAATAAACGTCCGTACTTTACTTTCTCCCACCCATCCGCTGCCACGAGACAGATTTCAAAGTCCCGTGAATGTGTGTTACAGTTACCCAAAAACACCTCCAAGCGCTTCTCAACACCCGTCACTTAGTGAAAAAACGGTACTCTAAGCGAGGCTCAGGAGGTGGTGGTGGAACATTGCGGAGTCACTGTACCACACGCTCACGGGACTTTAAAATCCAACTTGTTCCTCTGTCGAGCGATACACATAGCGCGCTCTGATAAGCGGGGGAAGCGCTTCAAGCCACAGAAAGTAGAAGTAAGGTTGAGTTTCCTCCATGTAAACGAGCTAAACGGTTGATGAGTATGATTGCACAAATTCGGCCAACTTCCTCAGTGAAGCAAAGTCTTTTTAAAGGGTACAGCCCCTTCGACGGCCAGGAGGATGGATAGGGTGACGAGTGATTGATGAATGATGGTAAACGCACTCGAGAACAAAGCATTATAAGGCCTTGTTTCTCAAAAATAGAGCAATCTCCGTCAACCGCCAATAATCTGAGCTGAGGTAAACGGCTTTCACAATTTCGCTCATTATCCACCTGCGTAATTGCTAAGATGAGAGACAAACGAGCAAAATCATATAATTGAGCGAGTGACAACAGAATTGTATGATACCAAGAATTTTTACAAAAAAAGATTATGAAGGCAATCGGTAGTGTTCAGTTGTTATGGAAACGTTATTAATCCAAGATTAAGACGAGAAGTAAACACATCGTGATACATCACTATATTCTCATCTGAGATACTCATGGAATATCCGATGGCTAATTGAAGGAAACTCGCAGTTTCTTTCGGTCCACAGATGTACTCAGCACTTTTCAAGAGCGCCCGATCCAGAAAGTTTGGGAGTGAATAATGCAGTTTCTACTATCCTCCGCAGGAATGCCTCGAAACATGACTAGAAAAAAAAGAGCAGAATGCTTCAAATTATTACTAGAATGAGAGAGTTCCCTATTGCTATTCGCTCTAGGCCCTCAAAAATATCCCACAATTAAATCCGCACGATTGGTTTTCATTTTCAGCCTGAACCTCCCCGATTTTTCTTTATTTTCTAATTCCGATTTGCGCTAGGGAAGGCATTACATCGCAGAAGTAAAATTTGTGGGTGCCGAATCGTGGATTAGGCAGGTTGTCCATGGTGAAGACTAGGCTAACCAGAACTATGTACTCCACAAACTTCTAGTGGCCACGGTCACGAGGGGACGGGGGGATGGAGAATGTTGGGAGGAAAGCACCGCAGACTTGGTATAGGGTTCGGACTCAAATAAAATAGTCA